AGGGCACACCAGTGGCTACAGCTGGATGGGTTGTGGAGACACACAGGCGACTCGGAGGTCCCAGCTGGGTCTCCCTAGAACCCAAGCCCAGGGCTCTCTCTGAACCCACTTTGCACCTCTCCCTGCCACACCCTGGCAGTGCTGCTGCCCTTGTCCTGCACTCAGGACGTAACTTTAAAGCATAGTTTCCAGCTGAATCCTATGTGGTTTTAAAACCCCTTCTATCCACAACCCAGAAAAGAAAAGAAAGGAACCATGAAAGCAGCACACATTTTTATACATATCTATAAACATCTGTGGTTTTTGAAACTGTTTGTTTCATTTTTAACTAATACCACTTTAACATACTTCTCTCCTTTTTGTCTTCTCTTAAGCCTATTGTTTATGGTCAGTAGACCTCCATGCCCCTCTTTTTACACCTGATAATTTTCTCTTTTTCTCCATTGTTTAAAGTCAGTAGACCTCCATGCCCCTCTCTTTACACCTGATAATTTTCAAATATAATAGTCCAGTGCTATTGACCTACCAATCTACTCCCCCCACCCTGTTGTGCACACAAATTCTGGGAAGTGTCCCCCCACCAAACAATCTCCTTACTAGGGGCCCCACATTGGGTGCCAATTGTAGGAGTCGGTGGTCTCTCTATGGTCCCCTGGAGAAAACAGTGAGAGGATTTAGAAAATAAAAACGAGAGGATAGCCGGGGTCAGGTGGAGTTACCTGTTTCTTGCCTGATGAGCAAGAGGACTGCCCAAAAACAGTAGAGCATTTATTTATATCCTGAAGAGGTTGGTTAATTTCCACCTCATTGCCCAGCAGCCAGTTAACAAGTTACAAAGGCTTGTTTACTCCAAGGGGCTCTGGTGTTCTCAGGCTGGCTTCATCCTGCATGTGTAATTATTTTCCAGCTTCAGCAGCTCCCTACACCACTTGTAGCAATTTCCTGTTTGATTTGAATTTTATTCTGAAGTTTTTGTTCATTTACTTTGACTACAACCAATCTTATTTGTTATCTTCAATTTTGCTATGTTATTCAGTTTATTTTGCCTTCTTCTTGGCTGTTAGTTTTTTGCTAATTTTAATACACTTTTTATATGCAGATCAATGTTCCTGAATCCCCTAATACATCTCATTGCTTTTCTCTTCCCATGACATACCATGCCCTTAATGTGGTAATAGTATTATTTGGTAGCGGGTTTCACATTTACCTTTTGTAATATTCCTAAGGCTGTTTTGCAGAATTCCTCTCTCATGTGACTTTTAAATTTCTAGAATTGGTTGGTCATATGCACTAACAAATACTTCTGAATGTAACATGGCAAGGTATTGAGTTGACACATCCATTGTGGGAAGAACTAGAAACTATGGAGAAGTGATTTTTTTTCTGTTCATGATTTATATACCTTTCCATTTACTCTGAATTAATACTTTAGTAATGGAGACGTTATTCTGTATGAATGTCTTATCTGGTACTCATTATGAATACACACAAATGATATATATGAAACAGTTTTCCTGCCATATTTCTCCCTGGATAATAGTTTGGATTTTTTATAATGTTTACAGGGTGAATAGCCCACCAAACCATAGCCAAGGTGACACGTTTTGTAGTGGCCACTGTTGACCTGTCTGCTGTGTCCTCACTGATACTCGGACTTTGGCACAAATCATCCAGCCCTGGGCCCTGACAATACTGGGAGTGACTCACAAGGTTGCTAATAAGAATAAGATGACAATACATTCACATAAATTTTCCAAGATCCTTCTTTGACCCTGATTTTTGGTGTGTAACATAGATCCATAGATAAACTGTAGCTTGGTAAGCAGGACATGCCAACTTTCGTAGTGCAGCTTTGCATAAGTTATACCCGGTGCTGCGTGTGACTTATAACAAAGTTATTTACTTATCAAAGTGTGCTTGTCAAAGTTATTCTTTGACCTGTCAATGCAATCCTAATTCACAGACAGCTTCCTTTACATCATCTCTAGAAATTCAGGGAACACTTGGTGCCTGAGTAGGGATGACAGAGACCCAAAGATGACTATAGTGGAACATCTCAGAGGAAATCCTGGTGTCCCCTCCTTTATGTGATATTGAGTGACATGCCTTGCTAATAGTGGGCCAATAGGAGAGTTCATGGACACCTCAAAAGTGCTGAATCCACTAAGGACCATCTGACAGTCTCTGGCAGTAGTACATGCATGACAAGGCTGCAGGAGATGTGGGTAGTGCTGCAAGTCCTAAGTCTCACTCTGAGTCTGAGCAACCTGTCCAGGGGGAGACGCTGTGATATTTGAGAATCACCATATGAGTGCAGGGCTGCCCTGAAAGTGACCTAAAGCATAGGCAAAATATTGCTCTTTGTCTGGAGAACTTTTATGCCCATATCTTATACTCTGAGTAACTACTTTGAAGATAACACTATGCCATATATTAACTATTGTTATTCTCCTATTTTATTTTGAAATTTTGTTTCATTTTTTCCATAAAAAAGTAAAATCATATTTTCTAAAAGTTTAAATATTTTACATGGCACCCATTCAAAAACTTGGCTTTGGGCATGTATGCACATTAAATGTATCACTCATTTTATAAAAGTTTTCGACCTGTGTTTAATTTTCCATAGACTTCCCACTCTATAGAGTGAGATTTATAAACCTGGCTTCAAGGAAATCCCTCAGGAAGGACATCCAGCCTGTGCTTTTGACTGTACCTCTTGCCCAGAGAATAAGATTTCCAATCAGGGAGGTAAATGTATGCCATAGGTGCCCATTCCTTTTGTATGTTGTCCCATCCATCATGGAAATGGAAAACACTTCAAAGAGAAGAGCAACGTTAGCATTCTTTTTTTTATTCCATTTGGCAACTTAATTGTATTCAGTATACTTCCCGGAAGTGAAGGGGTGTTTTTTTTGTCTGAGGACCTGTGCAAGGTTATCCTTGCATTCTCATTGAGAGTAACATTACAGGAACTTATGAAGTGCAACTGCAATGTGATTCATCTTATTTATTGGCCAACCAGTTCTAGTAAACCAAAGATGAGTACTGTGCATGTTCGTGTGTGCATGTTCTTGTGACTGTTTTTGGAAGTGTGTGTATTTGTGTTGGGGACTATGGGTTTTATGGGCTTCTTTTTTGACTACTCTGTCATTGCAGGTCCTTTGGTGTGGTCCTTTGAGAAGTCACCAGCTTGGTGGAACAGCTTTATCAAAGCCTGTCTAATTTTCCACGGATGGAGGGAATCTGGACCACCCCCACAATTTTCCAGAGAGAGTGTAAGTGCAGAAAGGTCATGTGGTGTGCAAGGTGTTCCTTAGAAAGGCATTGCCCTTTGCAAGTTTACTTCTGTTTGAGTACCGCATGTCTACATGCATGGTTGTGCTTGCAAGCCATATGCCTACTACATTTGTTTGAACAGGGTGTCTTTACAACAACCCTGTTTTGCATATTGCATATTACATGGAATTTCTGTTTATGTATTGCAGTTTACGCTCACACATGTCTGAATATGAGCTTGCTTCTGTTTGCATAATATACTTACACATGTGTCACGTTTGCATGACATATCTATGTGTGGCCATGGGTGTTCACAATGATATTTATAAGCACACTGTGTTTGTAGTCATGCCTCTGTGTGTGCCTGCATTCACACATCAGAACTTCTCCATGTAGGGGCTGGGGATTTAGCTCAGTGGCAAAAGCGCCTGCCTGGCAAGCGCAAGGTCGTGAGTTCGGTTCCCAGTACTGGAGAAAAACCAAAAAAAAAAAAAGAACTTCTCCATGTACACATGTACTTCTATTGCAACAAAGCAACTTGCACACTTTGAACGCTTAAAACTGCACATCACCTCTTCCTTTCCAGGAAAAACAAAACACAATTTAAAAATAAGCCAACAAAATTACAACAGAGAATGTCAATTCCAATGAGACCCTACAGGTTCTGCTGATTCTCCCATTGAGTGGCAGGGCTCACGTCATTATTAGGAGAGAATGTTACTTTAAAAGTGTCACCTTAAACTGCCAGGATGTCTGTTAACATCACAATAAACATGCCAAAGAGAAACCATGTTGTCAAACGCCCGCTTAACCCACCCAAACATCTCAGACCCACCCGTTGCTGACTTTCTATTCCCCATTTTTAAAAGTTGTTTATACCTGTTTTTAAAGAAGAGAAAGTAGACAGGTACACGTTGGTAAATGCTAACTGTCCCTATTCACATAGAGACACAATGTAATCTCTGACCCCAAATACAGAGAAAGGATGAAAAAACTAGAATTGTATGCACTACTACACAGGGCCCGAGCACCCTCCAGCTTCCAGCAGAGCTAAGGAAGCGGAGCGTTTTCTTTTTTCCCACAGATCACGGCTGTGCTGATTCCACAATTTGTGTGGAGACAGGAAGGGACCAAAATGAGTTTAGAACAGAAGGTTGTGGAGACTCTTTTCCCACCGCATTCTGCTCAGGGCTTCTCCCCACACTACGTCGAGAACCATGGTGTTTGAGAAGAGAGACCTCAAGAGCAAGGCGACTAGCACAAGCGCGGGGGAAGACTGCAGCTTGCTCCCAGGGACTTGAGAAGCTTCTTCAAACAAAAGGAAAACCAGGAAGGGTGGAATCCATCAGTGTTCAGTGAGCCGCCTTCGCCTTCATCCTCCCCTCCTTCCTCCCTTCATCCTCGTCTCCATCCCCTTCGCCTTCATCCTCACCCCTTCTCCATCGACGCCTTCAACCCTTCTTCTTCTTCATCATCACCATCCTCTTCTCCTTCGCCCTCCTCGTCATCCACCTGAGGAACCGAGTAGCACCGCAATGGACCTGGCCGAATGGCATCTTTGCTGACCTCTCCTGACTCATCGGAACGCTCCGAGACCGGGTGAAGAAGCTCTCAGCTCCACCTGCTGCCTCTGCCTGCTGGCTTCATTCTGCGCTTGACTCGAGCGTTTCGCCAAATCCTTCCCCGATTCCCATCTGATTTCGGTGGACTTTGAAGAGGGATCACCACTCTCATTCAGAAGAAGTTCTTGGGAGAGAACTTTACTTTCCAAGTAAGGATTTTCATCAAAATGAAGGTCTCTCCTGTAACCTGACTTTGTATCTTCAAATTCTGTCCCTTCGACTCTGGCCAAATAACGCAGCGCTTCCTCGTCTCCCTCCGCAAGCAGTGCAGGCACCTGTGGACGGTTAACGAATGTAGTTTTCCCAAAATTTGGGATTTGGGCCATCGATTCCGAGCTCTTCCGAAGAAATGGTTGGCGGAGTTTGTTATATTTCTGTTCTACTTTCAGTATCTGCCGCTGGCCTGTTCATTCAGTCCGTCTGTTCCACTCAGAACTTCATCAGTGTGCTCCCTTGCTTCTTGTTCCTTTTCTGAGGCCCAGTGGCCCCGTCCTGGTGGGGCTTGAGCTCCTTTTCACTGACTTTGGCCGCTGGTGCCAACACGGTGCTGCTCCCGGCCCGGGGAGCAGGGAGGCGGAGAGGAGGGAAGGCGCGAAGTGGAGGGCGGCTGGGCGCTGCGGCCTCCTCCGTCCGGCTCGCTCTCCCTCCCCCTCGCGCTCCTGTTCTCTCCGCCCTCGAGGTCAGAGGACCAGGGAGGGCGGGTGTCCTGCGGAGCCGCTCGGACAGGCAAGCTCCTGCTTGCGCAGGGGAGGCTGGGGCAGGGAGGCGGTTGGGCTGCCTCCTCCCCTGTCATATCCTTGCAAGGACATTTAGCTTTGCGTATCCTCTGTCTTACCTGTGTGCATAGCATCTCCGTACGTGTGCATATGTGCTTGCCTTTGCATGTCATAAGTCTACACTCATGCATGTGTCTCCACATCATTACGCGTATGTGTTGGGGTTTGGTTTGGTTTGGTTTGGGGCGGGAGTGGGGGTGTTGCATGTCACCTCTTCGGGGGTTGCGCAAGTCACCTAGAGCAGCCCTTGTTACCTAGAGAGAAGGGAACATGAGTGAGAGAAAACCCAATATTTAGGATTTTGTTTCCTTTATACACTTAAAATTTGCCTTATGTTCCCCTTGTAATATTTTATTTAAAATTTGGGGGAAACTAGT